GTCCAAGATGGTGGATCCGCGCTGCGTTAGCTAGTAGGGGACCTCTGCATGAATCTCTCCTCGCTCTCTCTTCTCTTTCAGTATTCTTACTCCATTTGGTGTTCGGCTGAGTTCTTTATCTCTTCATTTGATGTTCTAGGGTTTCAGGATTGTTGATTCTATGTTTGGCTTAGTTTTTCGGATCTTTGTTTTGGAGGGATGGCGTGGTGCTTCTGCCTAGAGCGCCATCTTGCCGGAGTCTCTCGCAATGATCTCTTTAAATAATGCTTTTTTCTCATTCTTTCCATTCTCTGCTTCTGGGCTCAGATTAGACATATATTAAACTTCCTTATCTCTTAATATCTCTTAATATGTCTATCTTAGGTATCTAGTGCTGCTATAACAGAAATACCAAATAACAAACAGAGCTTTATTCTCTCACAGTCTAGTAGGCTGAGTCTGCTGATATAACAGAAATACCACATAACAAACAGAAGTTTATTGTCTCACAGTCTAGTAGGCTAGGAGTCTGAATTCAGGGCACCAGTTCCAGGGGAAGTCTTTCTTTCTCTGTCAGCTCTGGAGGAAGGTCGTTGTCATCAGTCTTCCCCCGATCTAGGAACTTCTCAGCACAAGGACCCAGGATCCAAAGGACGCACTTTGCTCCTGGCACTACTTTCTTGGTGGTATGAAGTCCCCTTGTCTTTCTGTTTGCTTCTCTCTTTTATATCTCAAAAGAGATTGACTCAAGATACAATCTAATCTTGTAGATTGAGTCCTGCCTCATTAACATAACTGCCTCTAATCCTGCCTCCTTAACATCATAGAGGTAGGATTTACAACACATAGGAAAATCACATCAGATGACAAAATGGTGGACAGTCACACAATACTGGGAATCATGGCCTAGCCAAGTTGACACACATTTTTTTCCATAACAACATCCATCATATTTTCCATCTTCTTAGGCAATTTCTTGGGATATGTTTTCCAGTTTATTAATTATTTCTTCACTGTGTTGAATATTAAAATTTTAATTTCTTGAAAAAAAAATTTTTTTCCAATCTGCTTGTTCATTTCTATAGGCTCTTATTGCTTTTTCATCTTGGTAACTGGATCCTTTATTTAAACATTTTATACATTGCTATTCTACATTCTGTATCTGATCATTCCAATTTCTGTAGTTCTTGGGGGAGCTAAATCTCTGCTGTTAACTCTGCTGTTGGCATCTGCCATTCGGGCTGTTCCACCTGTCCTTGCTGCCCACCACTATGACTTTCTCACCTCTTACCTGAGCTATCTTTTTTTTTTTGGCAAGTTTCTTAAAGACCTCCCCTAATTCTTGTGAGACTAGTGATGCCTCAGAGAGTATGTTCTATCAAGGGTCTAGTTGTTTGGAGTGAGTGGGTTTTCTCAAAGCAGTGAATTTCAAACTGATATATACAATGAGGATTTGTAAAGATTTTCTAAGGCATATATGGGCATGGATAGTTTCTTTTTTTAGTTGTACTTCAGGTGAAGGTTTACAGAACAAGTAGTTTCTCATTAAACAGTAGTATACATATTGTTTTATGACATTGGTTAACAACGGGCATGGATAGTTTTAAGGGACTCAATTTCCATATTCTGAAGTCCATATGTACTCTTTCGAAAAATTGATCTGCCTGAAAATAAGCCTGCATTCACATTACTTCTTAGTCCCCTTTTTAAAAGGAATGCATACATTTTTACCTGGGTATAAAACTCTAGGGTGTCCTATAATGGAATAAATAAAAATATTAACCTCAGAGAGGATTTCTTTAATGATTAAGCAAGGAAACTGAACCCACAGGTCTTCCTGTATTTTCCTGTCATATATACACATTTTAATATATATTTTTATATAATAATTAAAAAAAAACCCCACTGCCGTCAAGTCAATTCCAACTCATAGCGACCCTATAGGACACAGTAGAACTACCCCATAGGGTTTCCAAGGAGCAGCTGGTGGATTCGAACTGCCGACCTTTAGGTTAGCAGCCAAACTCTTAAACACTATGCCACCAGGACTCCTTTTGTATAATATATATGTATAGATATTTCAATTTTATTATTTTTTTTTAAGGGCTTAGATTTAGAATCAGGGTACTTGGCCTGTGTTGAGTTGCTTTGAATTTGGAATAGTTGAAGCCATATAGTTTAGTGATGCTTCTTTTAAATATAACTGGAATGTTTTGTGGAACAGCCAAAATTTTAAAAATACATTGGCTATAAATATCAGATAAAAATTGTATCTTATTGCTTTTAGATTTGATGTGCTTTATTCAATATGGTAGCTAAAATCTATTTTTTCAAATAATACCATAAAATTTTCATTCCTAGTAAGGTCAGTATTCATTTTTTAAAATCCTGATGAATATTTGATATGTTTTGAAATCTCCCATTAACAAGAAACAAATTTATTTAAAATTATGATGAGAAATTTTAGGTGTCAGCTTTAAAATGTACAAGGAGATATATGAATTTTCAAAATTCTTTTAAGGAGTGTGTAAGCAAAACTATTTGAAGATCACTGCCTCAGAGCTTCTAGTTAGCCATTATTATATTTATTATAAGGAGCCCTGGTGCCGAAATGGCTAAGCTAACCAAAAGATCAGCAGTTCGAACCCACCAGTGCTCCATGGGAGAAAAGACCTGGCAATCTGCTCTCATAAATATTACAGCCTAGGAAGCACTATGGGGCAGTTCTACTCTGTCCTATAGGGTTGTTATGAGTCGGAATCAACTTGACAGCGCACAACGACGACATATTTATTATATATTTTTTTCTTATATATCTCTTTATATGTACTGTAAACTTCTTGAGGCTAGTGGATGGGTAACAGAAAGTCAGTGCTTGTTTCATGAACTAACGAAGCAATGATTAGATATAGTGAGCAGAGAGAGAGGGAGTCAAAGGAGACCCTGATGTCTATATTAGCAGAAGAGGAACACAGGACAAGCAAGTTCAAAAAGGCAGTTGATGAGTACAATTTTGTTCATAATGAGTTTGATATACTGGCAATCCTTTCAGGTAAGGATGTATGACAGGAGGTTGGAAAAGTGAGACTACAGCTCAAGGGAGAAGACAACTCAGGGCTGGAGAAGTGAATTTAAGACTTATTCACTTTGGAAGCACAAGGATTAATTAGATAGATTGAGGAGAGAATACTGGCAAAAAGAAAACTAGAGAATGAAACCAAAGGTTGTACTATAAAATTTAGGAGGTGAGAGGATGAAAAGGAGACAGAAGAAGCAATCAGTGAAGTAGGAAGAAAAACAGATTTCCCGCAGACATTAGGGGACAAAAGAGTAACAAAATGAATTAGGTGCTATGTCTAATGCTTTGGAGTATAGAGAACTGAGAAGAAGCCATTAGATTTGTTGACTAAGGTCATTACTATCCATACTTTTAGCTTACTATGAGCAAAAGGACCTGAGGTATTTCAGAAGGTCTTATTAGATAATACCCTTTTCCCCAAACTTTTCATTGTCCTTGGATCTCCTTACTATTTCTCAAGATTCAGCCCCAAGAGAGCCCTGCCTAAAGACTGGATTAGCCCTTTTCAGATAGATTAACACAGGAAACCCTCGTGTCCTCTCATTAATTATACTAATAACACTTTGCACACTAACCTAGTTGTCTAACATACTCATTTCATTTCTCTTACTCAAAACATATTTCAAAATCCACATTTTCTAGGAAACCACATTTGATTTAATCAGGATCAGATTGATTTTTTTTTTTTTTTTCCCCACATCAGTTCTTTGTGTGGCCATTTATATGCTGGGTGTACTGAATATGTTAGAATAATGTCCATGGTTCTTAGTTTCAAATAATTTAATTCACCTTAGAAAAGGATTCATTTATTAAGGATTTAGGCTGCTTACAGCATCATTGAGAGGTTTTAAGAAAAGGCTGAGCTTTCAGTAACAACTCACAAAATCACGGTGTAGAATTGGCCAGCTGAGGGAAGTGTTGTTTCTTTTGTGATGGGAATCAGGAAGCTGCTGCTTCAGCTGCTGGCCTCAGAACCACACCAGTAAAATGAGACGTTCCACACAGGGCCAGTATTGCCCTACCAATCAAATCTTGCGTGGATGCAAGACTGGTAGACTCTAAGGCACCTTATGGCAAGGGAGGTTGGAAATGGAGTGTTTGGATTCTATCTGGGGAAAGCATAGTTTGGGGAAGGACCAGAATGGGAACGGGGTGTTCACGCAAGTTTGGACATCCACAAGGGACAAACGTCCACTACTGTTGATTGTAAATCACAAAAGCTGTATAGTTTCTTTTTGGATTAGAATGTAAGTTCCTGGTGGATAGAGAGTGCTTAAAACTTTCCTAGCTGGTTTCAAGTTTCTTGGTTCTGACTACATAGCAAATCAGTCTCCATCATGATTTCACCAATTCTTAAACAATGAATCTCACCCAAGAATGCACACCAGTTTGAAGTAATGGTATGTTGGACAATGTACATAGCTGTCAGTGTATAATAGCAATTTTTGTATAAATGAAAGCTAGTATTATTTTCCAAATGTCCTCACACGTTATCTTGTTAAAGGTTAAAAGTGAAAGTGAATGTCAGCGATAGTAGTTTTGATCTGAAACCCTCAGCAAGAGTACCTCATCTTCAGGAACCCCAGGAAGAAGGGGAAACAGTTACTTACAAGTAAGCCTGTTATTTCATACCTTTGCTCTTCTTTCATTTAATATTTTTCATTGTGTTGCCCCTTCCCCCCTGCCATGTTTTCAAGTTGCAGGGGTCAGTGCCTAGGCATACACCAGGCTCTATTGTGGCATGACATCAGGCACCTCCCACCACTGTGTCTGGGTGCGGTGGCAACTTTCCTCCCCTTTTTCTGGTTTAAAAGGATAAGCAGCTACACATTTAGAAATAACAAATGCAGAAATGGAAAAAAATTGTTAGCAACTTGAAATAAAGATAAAAGATAGGAAATTTTAAATTGAATTGGAGCAGTAAAAATGGAGTTTTTGACTAGTTTTGGTAGATAGTAGCTAATACAATATTGTATCCAGAGTGAAGATGTGTTATAAGCAGAGAAGTGGTACATACTTCTATGCATGTAACATAGGGAATCTTCTCAAGTAACCAGTTAAGGAGTTAAAAGTAAGATATTTCTTTATATAGTTAAGTATCTTGTTAACTATTGGATTAAAAAATAATGAAGTCCCTTACATACTGTTGGTGGGAATGTAGAATGGTGCATCCACTTTGGAAAACAGTTTGGCAGTTTCTCAAATTGTTAAATATAGGTTTCTACCCGGGAGAAACGAAAATATACATCCACACAAAAACTTGTACATGAGTGTTCACAGTAGTGTTATTTATAATAGCCAAAAGTAAAAACAACCCAAGTATATGCTTAGTATGTTTACTAAACTAGTGAATAGATAAACAAAATGTGGTATATTCATATGGAAAATTATAGAGCAATACAAAAGGAACAAAAACCAGATACATGCAACAAAATGGATGAACTTCAAAATCATTATACTCATGAAAGAAGCCAACAATGGAAGACCACAAATTGTATGATTTTATTTGTATGAAATATCCAGAAAAGGCAAATATGTGGAGACAGAAAGTAGATTAGAGACTGCTTAGGGCAGGGGTGGAATAGAGAGTGAGTGTAAGTGGGCATGTGGTTTTTGGAGTGGTAGAAATGTTCTAATATTAGGTTGTGGTGATGGTTGCACAACTCTGTACATATACTAAAAACCTTTGACTTGTACACTTAAAATGGGTGAATTTTATATAAATTATACCTCAATAAAGCTGTTGACAGTAAAAATAATAAAGAAGAACCTAGCAAATGGAAAAAAAGCAAGGTTGTCCATTTTTGTTTGGGTGATTGGCTACAATTCTCTGTTCCTAAAAAACAAACAAAATAAGCTGCAGTAGTTTTCCTTTCCTTTTCCTGAATAGGCTCAGAATTTGATTAATACATATAGTCTGGCAGAAGCTGAAGGGCTTTTAGAGATGCTTGATGCTGGCATAACCAGCAGAGAAAACAGCTGACTGCCTGGTGAGGCTCTTAGTGTTTGAAAATAGAAACAGATGACTATTAGAGATGGAGCTGGCCAGGGTAGAGTTCTCAGTGTCTTTGAGGCGTGGTTTAACAGTTTGCTGCTTTGTCTCTTGAATAGAGCTGAAATTGAGGGAGATGTAGAAGGTATTGAAACAAAGCCCTGTTCTCTTGGTAGCTGAAGACCTTAAAAGAGGGAATGACTCAGAATTACTCCTGTATATTAGGTCTCAAAGGATTAAGTTTCTCTGCAATCCCTGACAGACCTATTTGGGGGAAGGTTTTAGGATAATCAACTTTAACCCTGTTTAATTTCTACAAGTGGCTGTAGAAGGAGGGGTTTTGTCTTCAAATACCTCTTCTAGCAAAGTGAGACCCAGGTATGAAAGAGCATATTACACTGTTGGAGTATGTGGAGGCTTATAGTTTAGACTTAAGGCTTAAGTCTGTGAGCTCCCTCTGGAAAGAGAAGGAGGAAGATTAGATTCTCTTCTATGAATTAGGGAAGCATCCCAGTTACAGCAGCAGGGGTGGTGAAAGCATGCTTGTCTTTTACAGAGTGAGACCTTCCTGCAGAAGGCATAATGGACAGTTCTGTGAAGGGGTCACTTACTCAGAGGGACCCTCACTCAGTTGTTTGATTAAGCAGGAAAAAGACCAGATAAAAATATTATTTGAGCAAGGTAATGCTGTTTATTTGGGTTTTCTTTTCATAAAAATGTATAAATTTATATAGAATTCATCAACTTCAAATTTAAATAAAATTACCAAATGTTACAATTGAGTTGATAAATATTTAAGATCAGTCTTTCCCTTCTGGTTCTTTATAGAAACAAAGAGACATGCTTTCTGGGAAAGAAACCTCTATGTTATCAGGAGAAAAAGAATTCAAGCCCCAGAGAGGGTGATTCTGAAGTGTCTTTTCTTCCTTGAACCCCAGCCAGGAGGTAGAAAGGGATGAGGACCAGGATGTGGTGAGTAAGAATTGGGGTTACCCCATTTTATAATATACAAGATAGCAATTGCTAATACCAAAATCTGAGCGACTGGGAAATTCTCTATATGACAGGCTTCTGAGAAGAGAGGAGGCAGTGGGAGGGAAAAAAGAGAGAGATATGAAGAGAGGGAGGGATGGAAGGAGGAAGAGAAAGGGGCTGAGAGGCAGGTTTCCTTTATTCAGAGGGAAGGGAAAGAGCTGCCCTGAGCTTGTTGGAGTTACTCAAATGGAGGCGCCCGTTGGTGGATAGACTGGACCGTTCAGGGCTTCAGTAGCTTGCTCTCTCCTGAGTTTTTGCCCTTCTTCTCTCTTTACCATTTATCACTCATCACATTCAAGTGAGGCCTAACATTTTGTTCCCTTTAATTCAGTCAAGACAGGTGGAAATTTTTCAAAAGGACCATATTCTAAATTAAAATAGTAAAATTTAAGAAGTAAAATAAAAGCCCCAAAATTAAAAATATAAAATGTATAGAAGTACAGGTGTTTACAGAGCAGAGACTTTTAATCCCAGGATAACTACAGTCAAATTTGGTGACCATTTGACCAGTCCCGTCTACTGCAGATCGGTCTAGGTCGTTTCTCCATTTTAGGTATCTCTCCACATCCTGTGTTCCAACAGTCTGGAGTTTAGCCTTTTTGAGGAGTGGAGTTAGAGGAGAAATCACAGCCCTCCCTCACCCTTCTTACCTCCCAGCTAGAAATCAATACATAGATGGCATGTTTTCTGAGTATACAGTTAATCTTTTATCTTTGTTTTTTTCTGTCCATTTCCCATGCTTATCCCTAAAGGATAAGGTAGTTATTATTTTTTTTAATTCACTCATGGTAAGTTTATTAAAACTTTACTCTGTGTTTTAACTCCTTTTGCTGTCATATTTTAGTGTTGCCCCATGTGCTTGCTTGCTTTCTTCCACAAAATTTTAACAAGCGCCTACTCTGAGCCAGCAGTGTTTGAAGGGCTGGAGACAAAACAGATGAATTCCTGATCTCACGGAACTTGCATTTTGATGGGGGAGACAGACAGTAAATAAACAGATAAATATGTAATATCGTGTGAATTAGTAATTAGGGCAACAAAAAAAATAAAACAGGAAAAGTGGATAGGGAAGATGGAGGAATGGATAAAGGGAACTGCTTTAAGTAGAGAAGTCAGGGAAGGCTTTTCTGAAGAGATATCTGAATGAAATGAAGAGTGATCTGGGGTAAGAATGTTCCAGGCAGGTGAATTACCACATTCAAAACCCTGACATGAGAGTGAAGTCGGCATGTTCAGAAAACGGCAAGAAAAAGCTGGTGAGGCTGGAGCACAGAGTGAGGAGAGAAAGGCAGCAGATGAGCTTGGAGAGGAGGCAGGCGTCCAATCCTACAGGGGTTGGAGGCCATAATGAGGTAGAATAAAATCCAAAGTGTTAGGGAAAGCCATTCAAGAGTTTTGAGTAGGGGGCAAAATATGATCTCATTAACATTTTAAAAAGAATAATATGTCTGCTGCACGGAGAGTTGATTATATAGTGGTGATGTGGGAGCAGGGAGACTCGTTAGGAGGCTAGTGCTGCAGATCAGGTAAGGTGGCTTAAGCCTGAGTGGTAGCAGTGAGGTGCTGAGAAGTGAACAAGCTGACCGAGCTTGTTATGTATTAGACATGTGAAGTGAGTGAAAGCAAGAAATCAAAGATGGATCCTCGATTATGCAGATATGGTCCAATTCACTGAAGTAGGAAAAGTTTGAGGAGGAAGCAGTATGGCAGGGAGAGGGGGCAGAAGTATAAAAGTAAGTAATAATCCTGTTTGGGGATGTTAAATTCAAGATACATGAGACCATTATATTATATAAGGAAGATTTGTAGGGTAGATTATAAAGCAACTTAATTTTTTTCCTCACTGTTCATTTAAACTTGTTCTGTGTTCTTCCTCTGCCCTGGACATTCTCAGATAATAAAAAATCTCCACCCTTCAGCCAAAGATTAGACAGGCCTATAAAACAAGCAATAATACACATAGTTCAACCATGTATATGATATTAAATGGGCATACCAGCCAGGGGCAAGGACGAGAAGGCAGGAGGGGACAGGAAAGCTGGACAAATGGGAATGGGGAACCCAAGCTTGAGAAGGAGAGAGTGTTGACATATTGCGGGGCTGGCAACCAGTGTCACAAAACATTGTGTATATTAATTGTTTAATAAAAAACTCATTTGCTCTGTAGGACCCTTAACCTAAAGCACAAAAAAGAAAAAAAAAAAAATCAAACAGAAACAAAAACAGACAAAATAAATAAATAAATGAATAAATAAAAAGTCTCCTGGTTATAAAGACAGTCTCAGTTTGGTAATTACTATGTCCAGTAATGATCAAAACTTCACTGTTCATTTATGGTCTCCTCTCCACGAGCTTGGGCCTGCTGCAGGCTGATTGCTATAGTGAGAATGGAGGGTAGGGTAGACGTCTTCTCTCTTTCCCATTTTACTCTTATTCCTCATCCCCATATCTTGCCACTGTGATTTCTGCCCTCTTCAGAGTCAGAGTGGAAAGGAGTTAGGAGAGGTAATGGAGGAAAATTCTTTTTTTTTTTTTAGTTGTGCTTTAGGTGAAAGTTTACAGCTCAAGTTAATTTCTCACACAAAAATTTATACACATATTGTTATGTGACCCTAGTTGCAATCCCTATAATGTGACAGCACACTACCCTTTTGTACCCCACATTTCCAGTGTCCATTCAACCAGCTCTTATCCCTTTCTGCCTTCTCATCTCACCACCAGACAGGAGCTGCCCATTTAGTCTTGTGTATCTGCTTGAACTAGGAAGCACACTCTTCACGAGTATTATTTTATGTTTTATAGTCCAGTCTCATCTTTGTCTGAAGAGTTGGCTGCAGGAATGGTTTTAGTTCTGGGTTAACAGAGAGTCTGGGGGCCATGTCTTCTGGAGTTCCTCTAGTCTCAGTCAGACTATTAAGTTTGGTCTTCTTATATGAATTTGAGTTCTGCACCACACTTTATTCCTGCTCCGTCTGTTGTGTTCCCTTTCAGGGCAGTCATTGGTGGTAGCTGGGCACCGTCTAGTTCTTCTGGTCTCAGGCCTGATGGAGTCTCTGGTTTATGTGGCCCTTTTGTCTCTTGGGCTAAGGTTTTCCTTGTGTCTTTGGTGTTCTTCATTCTCCTTTGCTCCAAGTGGGTTGGGACCAACTGATGCATCTTAGATGGCCACTGGCAAGCTATTAAGACCCCAGACACCAGTCACCAAAGTGAGATGCAGAACATTTTCTTAATAAACTTTGTTATGCCAATTGACCTAGATGTCCCCCCAAACCATGGTCACCGGACTTCTGCCCCTGCTGCTCTGTTCCTTGAAGTGTTTGGTTGTGTTCAGGAAACTTCTTAGCTTTTGGTTTAGTCCATGGAGGAAAATTTTGTCGATTCTTTCTATTGTTTTTCTATTCTCTATTTCATTTATTTCTGCTCTGATCTTTATTATTTCCTTTCTTCTGGTGACTGTGGGCTTTTTTTGCTGTTCTCTATTTGTTTGAGTTGTATAGTTAATGTTTTGATTTTGTCCCTTCTTTTTTGATGTGTGCATCTATTGTTATAAATTGTCCTCTGAGGACTGCCTTTGCTGTGTCCCAAAGGTGTTGGTATGATGCGTTTTCATTCTTGTTTGATTCTAAGAATTTTTTGATTCCATCTCTGATTTCTTCTATTATCCAGTGGTTTGTAATCAGGGTGTTATACAGTTTCCACGTAATTGATTTTTTTTCCTTGCTCTTTCTGTTAATTTCTACCTTGATGGCATTGTGGTCAGAGAAGATACTTTGTATTATCTCAGCGTTTTGGATCTTGTTAAGGATTGCTCTGTGGCCTAAGATGTGGTCTATTCTGGAGAACATTCCATGTGCATTGGAAAAGAACGTGTACTTTGCAGCTGTTGG